CCTGTCTGGGATCATGACATGCTTGCTCAGTTTATATTTTAGAAAATATTTGGCAGCCTGGAAGTTTGAATCAAGAAATATGTTCTGCAGTGGTGGTCTGTCCTTGTCCCTGGGGCACAGATTAAGGACTCAGAAATAAAAGCACTAACCTAGGTGGTTCTTTGGAATAGGGAGTAACTAATGGAACTGCTGCTTTATTAAAGAGGAAAAACCTCAGTATTTTTTTTATTTTTTTTTTATTTCAGCCACTCACAGCTTTGGCAAAACAGGCTTTTGATACTGAAACTTCATATACTTTCAGTAGCTTTTGTTTTTGTGTGACAAAATTTAGGGTTTGAGCTGGTAGAACACAAAATCTGAGTGCTTTACTGCAGCTTTCAATGCCTGAATATAGCTTTGTTTTTAAAAACCAACTAATTAGTATGCCAGTGCATACTTGGTGACACTAATTACTTTGCTTAATTACTTAAAATATCAGTCTGTTGTAAAAAGTCTGTCAGGTGTGTGATATTAATACCGATTTCTGTATTGTTCCCAGATGCTTAACAGTCTGCACTGGTGTCTATGGTGTTGGATTGTAACCTAAATTTCTAATCTTTGGCTTTGATGCCTCAAAATGAGCACTGGAAAGAGATAGCCAGTCTTGGGATTGTTAGAAGTGACCCCTTGGAGACCATGAAGGGGAAGCACAGAGTAAGAAAGACTTTAAGGAAATGTGAGGGACAAAAGCTGCTGTTGGCATCTCATTCTTCTCACCAATTAAGTCCCAACAATATATCCATGTTGTCATTAAATATGGTACTCCACAGCAAGATAGGGGTTGATGTTAGAGATACAGAAATAGAAACAGCATTAGGCTGGGGAGAAACAGAATAGAAAGGCTTTGGTATATCCAGAGAGGAAAATGTCTCTGTGTGTGTCTGTGTGTACATATATATAGATATAGATTATACAGTTCCATGAGAGGGACTGAATCATCCACTTTGTAGAAATGGCAACTCCTACAGTCACAGATCTTGGTAACAAGTCAGGGCTGAGGCATTTTTGATTACAGTAGCAATCGGAGACTGTATGGAAAGGGGAGAGGAGCAGTTGGCTGAAGACCTTTAACTGTAACTGGTGGTGCAGTTAAAGGCAAATGCACTTAGAAGCCCCACCTTCTCCTGTTTTCAAACAGTGGATACAGTACATACCTGTTAATATGTACATGAACCAGTTGTACATGGATTATTGTTGTCAGGTTCACTCTGCTACTGGTTGCTTCTGTAGGAGTTACTACCTGAAACGCGTGTGTGGTTCTTAAAAGTGTAAGTGCACAGGAGGAAACCCTCATCTGTCCCAAATCAAATCTTCTGGCAGGTACCTCCTAGTTGTAGTGTGACTTGTTGAACACCAGTCTTGCTGTTGCCTTGTTTATAACCCTTATGGTGAGGCAGCTGCTCCATTCCTTTAATCAATTTAGTTGCCCATCTGTATGCATTCCCTAACTCCAGTGCATCCTCCGGGGATGTGGAGAACAACTGCACACACCAGCAGGATGCAAATGTAGTAAGGCTTTACACAATGGCAGAGATGCTAAATACTCCTTCTCTACTCTTTCCCTGCTGCTCTATCCTCAACACCAAAGCAGGCTTCCAGGCATGTTTCAGAAGCAATTTATTTCATAATTCTATTTGTTAGCTATGAGTGTTCTCCAAGGTCATAGGCTTTACCATTAAAATAAAGCAATTGATTTATAATCTCACAGATTGGGAATTAAGATAAGCAGTGGAGAAACCAGAACCCTTGAGGATGTGCTTACTTTTTAGCAGCTCTTAGTGATATTTCCATATGATGTTGATTGTCAACTTCTTAGGAGAAAGACAACAGTGATTTGGGAATGAGAGATATATCTCTCTTCTGTTTTCCCTAGAACAAAATCCTGTCAATGTAATTTCATTAAGTAATTCTGTGGCATGTTCATAAAGCTCTTTCAAATACCCATCAGTTCATGTGTCCCCAAAAGATTCCTTATAGAAATTTGGTTAGTCTTTGTCAGTCAGAAATGTAGAGTTTAAAAACAGGCTTAAAAAAAAAGGAGCAATTGGTAACTGTTTTTAACAAGTACATCTTTGAGGAGCAAGGGCCACTGCTGGTCCAAAAGGTAATTTTACTGGGGGTTTTAATTATTTCCTATTCTTTTATTGCATGTTGTTATTGTGCTAATGAAGAATTTGACTTGGACTGGGTAAATGTATTACCTGCAAAGTAGAATGTTGTCTTTCTGAGCCAGCTCTGTTGAGTCTTTTGACAAGACAAAACAAAACTTAAATTCTCTGGTGAAATTTTCATATAGATAAGCTTGTGTATAAGCAGGCACTTACATTGACACAAAGACTTCAAGCAGCAAGTGACAGGAATACCCACGAGCCAGTTAAATGCAAATAAGGCTTGCAAAATACTAAGTGTATTTAAAAGACTTGTAAGAAAAAGCATACAAATAATGGTTGCTGTGCAAGTAGGCTGTTTGTCCTAATGCTGATTAGTCCAGGCATGAACAGAGCTTTGCAAATATTAGGAACAGTTTTATATGGTATATAATCCACTTGATTAGATACTTAGACTGTTCCTATTTTTATTTGTAAATCACTGGCAAAAAGCTGACTGGCAGAAAGTGAGAACGCTGTCTCTCCCAGGACTGAGCACAGGTGATGGGAGGCCAAGGTGCAGGTGTGTGTTGTCTGTACTGGTAGTGGTTTATTTCTGCATTCTTTTTTTCCCTGCAGTGTCTTTGATGCTGTTTGAAGGTCACAGGTCTGACAATTCCATTGCTTAAGGCTTTTTATTTTTTTAATGATGTGTTAACTTTTATGGGCATATTGAAATACTCATTTGTTATGTCTACAGCGTGTCTCTATTAAAAAAAAAAAAATTGAATTAATTCTAGAGAAGCAAACCCAACCCAAATGAGGGAGGTTCTATTCTGTTCTAATAACTTGGCTTTTTACCAGACATTGTAATGCATTATTTTTCTTTCTTCAGCAGAAGGCTGAGGGTTTAAATTGAATCCAGGCAGATGAATCACTGCCATCAGTTTAGCTGTGCTTTACCTGAATCCACAGGGCAGCGAGCAGGAGCAGAGACGGCGGTTCAATTAAGATTGTGGTACAAGTAAATCCGTTGTATTGTTATAGAGGCTTTGATTATAAAATTCTTCCACAGAACAGGGTGAGCTGACAAAACAAGACAGGCCTGAATGGTGTTTTCATCCTGTGTGAATAAAAAGTGATTTAGATTAGTGTAGATTTGGGGAGTAGGGAGAGCAGCCTGGATACTTAAGTGACTTCTTTCCCTCTCCCACTTTAAGTAGATCCCTTATGCTTGTTTGATTCCCCAGCCATAAGCATGTTTCTCCCTGCATTTTGGAGGCTCACAGTTTTGCAGGCTGTACCTGATTAGGTTCTCTAGCAATCAGTTGTGAGTGGGGCCATCTCCTGCCACTGCCTGGGAGAACTCTGAGTGCCTGAGTTAAAGGGCCAAGTTTCAAGCTGCTTGACTGAAATATTTTATGGGAACAGGCTGCATATCAACAATCTTTTCGCTTCATAGTTTGAAAATAACTTGATGGTATCTCCTTAACTTGAAAATTCTGTTGGTTCTTCCCTTGGAAACATTGCATTGCCTTCTACTTCGCAGCTCTGTTGAGGAATGGAAAGTTCTTCCTGTTACAGCTATGGGGGCAGCCTGAAGAGCCCTTTCTCTTCTTGAAATTGGTTTAATGCTTTCTAATTATAGAAAGGTACCTTAAATACCCCTGCTCTCAGGATTTTGAATGTGAAATTAGTGTAAATTCAGTTTTCCCTGGTGCCATTAAGAACTTCTCCCTGGTTCATAAACATTCTTGATTCTTAAGGGGGGGGGTGGGGTGTGGAATGTGATAGAGACAGCAGGGATTGAAATGAATTAGTGAGTGGAAGAACTCCAAAAGAGACTTCTTTAAACAGATTGATTGCTTAGTCAGAAGACTTGGAGACAGCTGGTTAATGATCATAGAAACCTTGTGACTGAGGGCAAATGCTGCCCACACTCTCTTTCTGGGGAGGTGTCACATTGAGGCTGATGGCCTCAAAGGAAGTAGGTATATGTGCACATGCCCTGCCAGTAGTGCCATGGGCTGCAGGAAAGCAGAAGCTCCTGGGAAGCAGGGTTACTTCCCCAGCTGCTGGATGTCTAGCAGATTTCTCTCAAGTCCTTCCAAGCTGTGAAGGCAGGAATGACATTAGCTGTTTGTAACCTGCTGCCTGCCGTTCTCTTAGATGTATTTCACATACAACCTCAGGCATTTCTCATTTGTAGCTTAACTTTCTTGTAAGTTGACTGCTTTTACTTCCAGCTTCATTGATATTTATTACAAACTTGCCCTGTGGGTCAAGAAGGGAAGATGCCTCTGTTTGCACAAGCAACCCTAAGTGGAAGTCATAATGTGCATTGTTTTTACAGTACTGATGATCTGATTTCAAGCCCCTGTTGTTACCCAGGGAATTTAGGAGGGTTTTTTTCACAAATACTGCTTTGCTCTGCATTGGCACTTAGAAGTTCCTGAAGCTGTTGTACACAGGAGGAATCAATGGGCAGTCATGCCATGGAATGTTAAGCACGTTTCCAGGACAAGCTGTTGGCTTTGACCTTTGGTTACCATGCAATGTAGATGGTGTGGCTGAACTGAAAAACCTCCAGAGCATGTGAACAAATATCCTGGCTGTGAGAGGGGGATTGTGCTACCACAGAAATGGAGGTGTGTTGATGGGGGGTGGATTAGAGAACAGTGATTTAGAGCAAGAACTCTGCACCGTTGGGGTGTGTACCAGACCTGACCAGGGTGTTCTGAACTGGGTATTTGCAAACTGCAAATTGTAAATTTTCCACTCTGCTGTACCAGGATGTTTAGGAGGTAAAATGGCCTCCTGGTAAGTATGTGTGGGGTGTTTCATAGAGTTCTCAACCTGTGTTTTGTTTCTCAGTATTGAGTTCGACCGAGACTGTGACTACTTTGCCATCGCTGGAGTGACAAAGAAGATTAAAGTCTATGAGTATGGTACAGTCATTCAGGATGCAGTGGATATTCACTACCCTGAGAATGAAATGACCTGTAATTCCAAAATCAGGTAGGCATTGATTTGTATTTGAACTCAGTGTGCCTTTTCCACTTGATTGTTTATGTGTAGCAATTGTTCTGCTTTCTTTATGGGAATTGGAGGGGAAGGGAGGAATGCAGGAGCTAATGGAGATTGGATGGCACAAGCACTGGTACTTGTGTATGCTGGGTTCATCCATGGTAGTAACAAAGCCCATGTACGTGCAGGAGAAAAGGCAATGGGGAAGTAAACTGCTGTTGTGTTCCTTGCAAATGCTGTTGGATACCCACTCAAAGCAGTGGATATATGCTCCAGGTAAAGTCACAGCTTGTCTCAAGGTAACCTCTGTACTCAGTTCTTCATAACAGTTACTGATTGCTTCACGCTTTCTTCTCTTCATTGACCAGATCCTTTCCATTCTTCTGAGAGGTTGCTAGTTCTCAGGAAATGTTCCTTGCTGGCACCTTCTACTTAGGAGTTTTTGTCTGCCTGAAGTACTGTTCTGCTGGGCCTCATAATATAAAGCTCCTAAGAAAAGACCTGTCTTGATTTTATTTTTTTTTTTTGCTGCTGTGCTATCATTACTGTCAACCCTTTTTTTTTTTCTTTTAGATATATTAAACCAATAAAATATAGGCCACCATGTTAGAACTTCAGCTGAACTAATCCAGCTAAATAACTTAAAAATCCTAATTCAAAAATTCTGTTAAAGCTCAGAAGTAAATAATACAGGCCATCAAACATTCAGTATTATAATACAAGTCTCCAGCATTGCTGTTGAAATAATTTGTTTTTATTTGGTGCTCTACATTTTAAAAGCAGTAAAGCAGCCATGAAAGTGCAAGTAATAAATTTATGTAACAGTCCAGCTTCCATGAAAACAAAATGTTGTGCAACAAAATTAAGAATGTTTGCGAGCCTATTTTAGAGCATAAAAGTCACGCTTTGTTTTGTAGCTGACACATTTCTAAAGATAGAGCAGTCATTCCTGTGTTGCTTGTGCTCATTATTCCCAGGAATTGCATAACACTGTTTTATGAAGGGAAAGATGTAAGTGCAGCTGACCCTGGGACTAGATTTTTCACAATGGGTAAAAGCAGCCTGAGAGTGATTTGTATTGATATGCTGTACTGATTATGTTTGTGTTTGGCTGGGCTGGTGAAATGTTCTGCGTTTTTACCTGAGTCATAGCTGAGTTTGCACCATTCGGCTGCACTTTTGTGGAAAGAACAACAGAATAATAGGAGAAGCAGTCAGAGTTAATACCTTTTGCCTTAATTAGAAGGGGAAAAGCAATGTGTGTTGGGTATTTCTTGGACACCTTGAAATAAATTCCAAACTTGCTGTTTCAGTTTTGAAAGGGGTCCTACCCTGATGCTCCTGCCAGTGGTTAGGAAAGTTGTTAATTCTCCCTTCTCCCCCATCTGCTAGTGAGGAGAGTCACATTAGTGCCTTCAGTGGTCTCATGTCAGCTTTGTGCTCCAGCCAAAATGCTGCTTGCTTTCAAGATCTTTCTCATTCTCAAATTTCATGCATGTATATATTTTATGTATATATGACAATGCTAAATGCCCTGTCCTCTGACCCACTGCCTCAGTAGAGGAGGATCAGGTCCTCTCTCATTTTCTTGCCCTAGTTTCTCTCATTCCTTTGAAGAAATAAATGGTGGGGTTTATTATCCCCCAGCCTCCTCCAATTATATCAGGCTTCCTTTGGCATGTAGGTGCTTTTGGTTTTGACAAATAAAGTTGGTCTGTCAGTCAAACACATCCTCGCTATATCCATTAGTTGTGCTGCCAGTCACCGGTGCCGGGGTTTGCTGGTGCAGGATTGAGCAGCATAATAACTTGCTTTTCTGAAGTGGCATAGCTTGAGGGAGATGTTATAGATGAAGGCTGTAATTTCATTATGGAATATTGCCGTGTGCTGAAAATGTGCCCATATTGTAATAGAAAAATCTAAACAAGCAAGCAGAGCCTGCTCTTTGTAAAAAGCCTCAGTTTCAAGTTGTTGGTCCTAATTTGGGTGAAAGTGCAGTTTCTTCAAGAGACTTCACCTGTGCATGCCCCTTCTGATATCAAAGACAAACATATTTCTGCTCTAGAAAATGGGTGGTATTTCTCTTCCCAGCAGAGATGCAGGGGTCTGTGTGCAGATGGGGTTCGGTGACATGTCTCTCCTGGTTAAATTGATCCTGCTTAACCTTGTTCAGAGCAATGATGCCAGAACATAAATCATTAGCAATGATGTTGGTGACTCAGCTTTCAGAGGAGCAGAGGCTGTGATGGGCTTTTATAAAAGCAGACAGGTGACAGCATTTGTGAGGACTTGTGTCTGGCCAAGAGCAAGTCTGGCCCAGAGCAGCTGCGGGAAGGGAAGCCCGTGCCTGGGCCGGGGCTGGCTCCAACCCAGCCCTGCTCTGCCGTGTGCCAGCTGGGTGCCTGCTGAAAGCTTGAGCTTCATGCCAGCAGTAATTGATTGTAGGCTTTCCTGGAGCTGAGCCCTGGTACCAGCTGTAGCTGAGTCTCTTCCTCTTTTCCAACCCCCTTTTTTACACCCACCTGCTTCTTAAATACATTCTTTTTTCATCATCTGCTAAGCCTTCTTATCCCTATTTTTAAGAACGGGGAGGAAGTCGGTGTGTCGGGTTTCTGGTAAATGTGCATCGCGTCCCCTGGGAACAACAGTGGCATAAGCTTCCAGGAAAAACACAAGATGACACATAAATCCTCATAAAAATCCCATTTACAGATTCATAGCTTCAGTACAAGAAACAAATCCTGGCATTGTGTAGTAGCTATAAACAGCACCCTGTGAGCTAATTATGACTTGCTGTGTCCCTAGCTATGGCAGGCACTAATCTGCAGCTCCCCCCGTGTAGGAGATGGGAAAGGACGAAGAGGAATGGCTAGCAGCAAGCCACAGCTCTGTTCTGATTTATTCAAGAGGCAATTTGTTGTTTTGCCATAGGCCACGGGGGGAGAAAAATAAAGAGATCTAGCATTCAGGTAAAAAATTGGCTTTAGACCTCGTTAATCTACAGCAGGTGATGTGTGAGTGTGGTTAGGTAAACATGCTTTTGAAATCCGTGTTTTGTATTCTGCATGCTCACCACCGTGTGTTTGCAGCATCTGTACTTCAGTGATAGATGTTACCACAAACCTCCAAAATCAGCTGCATCTGTTTAGTCAATTGCAGTAAAAGCAAAGCATCAGTAGTCGTTCTTTTTTAGGAGGCTGCTAATATTTTACAGTTTTCATTTTTTGGTGTCAATAAATCAAATGCGTGTTTGCTGTATCCTAATAGCACTTCAGGGGTGTATTGCTGTCAGCTTTGAAAATGGCAGACACTTCTCGCTATTAAGTTTAAATTAAGCAAAAACTTGTCATATGGTCTTTTTCATTGTAGATTCTTTGTGATTTGGAGTGGTATGAGCTGGTTGTGTTGGATGCCTGTATTTCCAGAGCAGAGGATGTTTGACACTAAAAAGGTTATAAGGAAATATGCCTTCAACTTGCATTAATTCAAGTTTTTGGAATCACTGATTCACTTTGCAGGAAGATGAAAGTTTTTTCCAGAAGTATTTGTCTTTAACCATACTAGAGGTTTTCTTTGAATTGATTAGGAAAAAAGGGGTTTATTTTAAAACATTCATCACAGTAATGTAATTCCATATATCTCTGAAGTATTTGTTTTATGTTGTTATTCACGTAGATGTTCTTAGCAGTAGTAGATCATGCTCTTAAAAACATTTCAGTCCTAAAACTATCAGCCATCATGGTGGCAGATTGGGTCTGAAGCACTTGGTGCTCAGAAGCAGATCAGACCATGGGCATTTGTGCCTTATTAAAAGCTTTAACTTTATTTAACTCTCACTGCCAGAGGGGTGGGTGACACTGGGTAGCATGAGCCTGGATTTTTGAGACATATCAGCCATAAAAATACTGTCTCATGAAAGAAAGATCAGCATAACTGACAACACTTAACTGAGCTGGCCCACTTGTGTCTCTGAATAAAATGAAGGATGCACATGAATCTTTACAGGGTCAGGATTTCTGTGTGGCTGGATCAGATGCTGAGGTTAGGAGGGCTTTTTGGAGGTTGGTGATTAGCTTTCAACTACAGTTTCTCCAGCTTAATCCCCTAGGAAGGAAAGCTATCGGAACTTCTGATAAGATAAATCTCTGGGGTGTAACTATCACTCTTTCTGGATTAAAGAACAAAGCAAAAACTGAAAAAAAACCAAATACAGCTACTGTACTTAAAATAAAAGATGGCATCACACAACGCCTTTTAGTCCAGTGAATTATACATTCTGTCAGCCCTGGGTAGTTATTTTTATATCGTATCTCAGAGCCTTCATACTTCAGTTTCTCCTGGATGTGGCTGCATACCATCTAAAAGTTGTCTGCAAAAGGTTATTTTTATGAACTTCTGGGGGTTTGATAGTTAATCTGTTTGAGGACTATGTAAGCTGCGTTTTTGGTTCATTTCACTTTTGACTTTCCTTTGCCCTTCTCCAGCTGTGCTCCCTCATGCCTTTTTTGAGTTTGTTACTCAATTCATTACCCATGATAGCATCTCAAGGGAACACAAAAAAAGTAGATGTCTGTAAAGCTTCATCAAAATTGCCTGTGTTGGGCATGGAAGAAAGATCTGTGCTTCCCTTAAGGGGGAGCATGGCAGTGAGTTCTCAACCCTGTGCAGGTCCCAGGAAAGCCATATGGAAGAGAAACATCCCAGATCCAGGACAGCCTTCTTCCAGGTGTGGATTGTCACAGATGCTAGAGGATACAACCAAAGGACTTTTTACAATCATTTTTTAGAGGTGAAAAGGGTGATAGGACAAGGGGGAATGGTTTCATGCTGAAAGAGGAGAGATTTAGATTACATGTTAGGAAGCTGTCTGCTCAGAGGATGGTACAACTCGGATTGTCAGAGAAGTTGTGGCTGCCCCATCCCTGGAAAGAGTGCAAGGCCAGACTGGATGGGGCTTGGAGCAGCCTGGGATAGTGGAAGGGGAGGGCAAGGGGATGGAATGAGGGGATATTTAAGGTTTCTTCTACCCCAAACCATTCTATGATTTCTGTGAAAGGACAGCACTTGCTAAAAAACTGCCTGGAAAGGGAGCTCTCCTCTACCTGATCTAACCCTAAATTGCACTCTACTAAGTTTACTTTGGAGAATTTAAGTTAGAAAGAAGCTCAGGTATTGCAATGTTAAGGGCAAAGCTCTTGTTTCAGACTTTGTAAAGAGAGTTGGGTGCAGATGAGGGCAGAATTAAGGCAGAGAGCTGGAACAGAGTTGATTTTGTCTTATTATGCTCCTTTAATCATATTACTTAAAAATGAAAGATTTATGGTGTGTGTGACTTAAAAGGTGTTAATTGAACTACTCAGTGGCTGCAAATCCCTAACCATTTTTCACCTGTCAGTTCCTGTTTTCCCCTCTAAGTCTATCTATAAATGCTTTCCAAATGAGTGTTAACCCCTTGTTAACACCATCAGGCTGCATTGGGATCTTTGCTGTGCCAGATCTAATGAACATGCTTTTGGGCACAGAAACTGTGTTTTCTCCATCTGTCCCATCAGTGAAGTATTTTAAATCTATCACATCTCAGTAGAACTGTTAAGCTCTTGTCCTTCACATCTTTCTACCAACTCAGTAATTCTTAATTTTCATTGTCGGGAGTGATTTCTTTTTTGACAAGATGTGGTTATGTGATTATTCTCTTCATAACTAATCTGGAACATTCATCCTCGAACCACCCAAAGTGTCGCCAGTACATCAGCCTTCCTTTACCCTCTTCTCTTGTTGATGTTGTCTGATGTCCTCTCAAAGCCTTCCAGATAGGAGACTGCCTTCTAAGATATGGCTCTGGGTTGTACTATCTCTGCTTGTACATGATGGCTTCCCTTACAGATTATTTCCTTTTTTCTTTAAGCTCCTTGAAGCCCTGACTTGAGATAATCTGGTTGGGGGAACTGATAAAGGTCTCCTGTGGTGTGGTATCTACCTCCCTGCCATTGGCTGGAGACTGCTCCCAGCCCACAGCTCACTGTGGCGTAGCTCTAGGCCTCTGAACTGCTTTTGCTTCCATCAGAGACTGCTCCACCTGGAAACATGACTCCAGATGTCAGATGTGGTTATCTCTGGGCTGCTAAAACCTTCACCTCATGGTCTTGGTGGGCACTGCCTGCCAACTCCATTTGGAACTCAGGGAACCACTTAAGCTTCTCAGAATAAGGCTTCTAGTAAATCATAGGTTTCAAGACCTGTTTTTCTGTGTGGATACCTAATGGAAGTAGGACTGAAATAGCGATGGCTGCGTTTGTGGACAGTTCTCATGTCTACAAGGCTTATGGATACTTAACATTTTCTCATTAATGACATATCATGGAGGAGGTGAAGCCAGGGAAATCACTCTGTGAGCTGCATCATTGCAACCATCCTCTTAGCAGCTGGTGGTTAAAAATGGTGACTTATATTGGGTTAATAAAATTTTAAGTTTCTAAATGTAAAGTTTTAAAACCAAGGAATGCTGTTAAGTTTCACCGTAGTCAGGAGCAGAATGCCAATGCTGCTTACTGTTATTTAACTAATGGAACAATAAATGTTTAACTACCATGAGAAAGGGAAAGGATTTTTCCTCATCTGTGTGTAAATTATTAAGGAAAACAGGATGCAAGTGTATAGTGGAACCAAGAATTTAGCAGGGTATAATATTCCTGAATCAGTATCCATGTATCTACATCATATTTCAATGTGTAGCTTCACTGATCAAAGCAGTACAAAAAAGTTACAGAATTGTGGACTTCTGGTTTATATTGTTGGCTAAAACTTGGCCCCAAGGCTACTATGATCTAGTTATCTGTGTCAGAGCTGCTCGAGGACCTGCATGAATGGGATCTGTCAGTTCAGCTTCTGCTGCCTGCATCACAGTTGATACCAACTGGCATGCTTCTTTGCCAGATGGTCCAAAAATTGGTGAACTAGTATTACAAATTTTCTTACCTCTGTCACATTTTTTTGGGAGTCAGAGTGGAGGCATAATGCCAGAATGCTATGAGTGTGACTTGGCAGTGTTTCTGCTCTTGTTTTCTCTGCTGATCATTAGAGATTGCCAGTGGAATTATAATTTTGTTTTGCACAGCCCCTCAGTTCCGCTCGAAATAAAAACCTGTGTGATAATATTTTCCAGTTCTTGAACAGAAACATTTCCTAAAATACTCATAGCAAACAAACTGCTGTTCTCTCCTGGACAGAAAGGCTTTTTTAGCATTTACAGAAAGCTGGAAGTAGTTTCTCAGAAGTCAAACTTTCATGTACACATAGGTACATATATAGAACATTAGATGTGTGCTGCAGGAGAGGTTGATTTACTGTCCATGTGTCTATGCATTTTACAGATACAGATACTCTTAGGTAAGTAATCATGGTATAATAATAATTTGTTTATGGTAATAATAACAGTAGCATCTGTTGCTAAGAGGTTAAGGAGTTGAACCTTGAGCTCTTGAGAATTTGTGTGGTATTCAAACAGAAAAAAAAAATCATAGTTCTTGAGATGAATTTATTTTTAAAAAATTCTAGACCCTAGCCCTTCATATCAAGGGGGAAATGTCTCTTCAGTCAATAAAGTTCTGCTTTTTGTTTGTGGAATAACATTTGTTCTATTTCTGAAGGGGTTTGGGTTTTTTTCACTGGGGTGGTTTGCTGAAGATGCTGCGTGCTTTGCAAAGATACTCATTGCCTGATGTATTGTAAGAGTGATTTTTGTATTGTGCATTATGATTTCCTCTAAGACTGACCAGGCCTTGCTCTTTTTAAGCTGTATCAGCTGGAGTAGTTACCACAAGAACCTGCTAGCCAGCAGTGACTATGAAGGCACCGTCATCCTTTGGGATGGATTCACAGGACAGAGATCCAAGGTCTACCAGGTAACACAAAACCAGCGAGCAACATTTCCTGTCATGTGCACTGTGCTGGGAGAGCAGCGCTGAGTCTGAGGTTCTGCTCCTAGTCCAGGAAAAGGCTTTTCCATTCCACGGGGTGAAATGGATGTTCCTCCCATTTGGTAAATATGTCTCATCCACACAGCTTTATTGAGCTGTAGTCCTCCAAGGGAGGCAGCTCTGTCTTCCTGTCACAGTTGAGGCAGTTGATGTTTTCTTGCTGCTGCTCTCGGGCAGGGAATCTGCACAGGGAGAAATCAGTTCCTGGAAGCTGTCACGCCTTTCTTTAGAAGCCTCTGTCTCTCCACACCTGTTCCACTTCAGTCTTTGTCAAAAGCCTTTTATAAAACTCTGCAGTGATTGCCAGCACAGGTGTTTGTGAAGCAGAAGTGTAAAATGCACACTTGAGTGGTGAGGCTGGAGAAGGGAGCACAAGGCAGAACAGAGAAGTTCCTTCCCCACGCAGCACGCTCAGCTCGACAGCCAGACCTGTGTCAGAGGTTTCTGGTGTTTTGTTTCTTCGTGAAACTCAAACATTGTGGTTCTGTCTAATGGCTTCTGTGAAGCTTGTGATCAGAACAAGGAGGCAGAAAAAGGGCTGTAGTGTTTGGGAAGAGGCTGGAAGTGCTGCAGGCTGTTGTGTTGTCCATTCAAACTGGTCAGTGATAATGGATGAACTGCAGACTCCTTGACATTTCAACCTAAGTTTTAGTTCTTATTTAGGCCTGTTTACTTTTTCATTGTTTTTTAGCCATTTTATAATGCTTGTTTTTATTAATCCTTTGCATATCTTAATAAAAGATAAATTATACTAGACAGAATAAATCTAGTCTGCTTTCCTCTCAAATACATTTTGCATTTCTTTATTAGGCTGAATAATGAACCTAGAGATGACCAGCTGTTGCTTATGTTAAAACAAACTCATTTTGCTTCCTATCAGATTACTTGAATTTTTTTATTTGGATTTGCATAGAAGCATTGACATCTGCTTTGCATGTACTGAAACCCTTTAGTGACTTCATCCTCATGAGCTTTTTGTCTTGTGTGAAGGCTTTAAACAAAGGCTTTGACTGAATTTCAGATTTTATTCAATGCGATGTTCTGCTTCCATGTGGGATGTGCCAGCATAGCAATTACAGCTCTTCTGTATTTTGAGGAGAAGTGTGCAGTCTTTTAATAATATTTATTTGAGTGGTAAAACAGACACCAGGAGATTTATTTAATAGCTCAGCTGGAAGGTACAGATTTCCTGGACTTCAAGAGAGGTGCTGTTTGAAATGGGCATCTTGTCAGTATTGGGAAATACTGAGAAGTTGCTTATTAATATTGAAAGCTGCAACTACAATCTAGGATAAGCAGCAGCACATGGTGAAACCACAGCCAGCTAAATCATGCTGCAAAACCAGGTTTTTAATGTGTATATCCTGAAATATTTTTTTCTTTCCAAGTGAAAATGAAATCAGTTTTTGTTTTTTAAAAAGCCATTCTAGTGTTTTCTGCTCTCCTGGCATGTCTAGCATATTGATAGGATTGGTCTGATTGGGAGAAAATATACTTTTTTCAAAAAACTGCTAAACATAATAAGCTTTTCTCTCCAGGTCCCTGCTGACCTGGAGATTATACCAAATGTGTGTTTTCCTTTACTGTTTTATCATATTACAACTCACTACCTTTCAATATTGTTCTTGTTTCTCTCAACAGGAGCATGAGAAAAGGTGCTGGAGCGTTGACTTTAACCTGATGGACCCTAAGCTATTGGCTTCAGGCTCTGATGATGCCAAAGGTACTATTTTATTTCAATCTCAGTGCAGAAGACTTAGGCTCTATGTGTTCTCTTGGAAGAACAAAGAAGTGCTATTTCAAGTAGCTGATTCCTCAGCTGCCTTCAGTATTGTAATTGCTGTGGTGATGTGGCAAGATATTACTGAGCTGTTTGGATCTTAGAGGAGGAAAGGCTTTATTTGGATTAAGGGCTCTTGCTTCACTTTTTTTTTGTATAATGTACTCTCACCTAACATTCTCCTGAACTCCAAACAAACCAAAATGTGTTTTAACACTGTTAAACTTGTTGAGTTAAAGCCATAGGGCCTTTCAAAAGAGCAGCATGTATTTATATTTCAAAAATGAGGCTGTCAGTAAAACAGCAGCAGTTAAGAAATGTCTGCTGCTCTCTTATACCTGTAGCTCTGCATGTTAAAGACTGTTTCTTGGAACTTTAAGGAGTTGGATGGTGGACTGAGGAGTGATGGGAGCAGCTCCCAGCCTTCCACACTCCAGAGTCCATTTGGCAAAGCACTTTTGGAGAGCCCTTATGCCAAGCTATTTACCACATGGTGGTAAAAAGATGTTCCTCTACTGAAAAGATATAGGAAGCTCCTAAAGAAGAGGACAGTAGTATTCTTCATCACTAATGAATGAGAGTTTTATCTGTAATGTGTTTACAGTATCAAATCAGAGTTATTTAACAGCAAGAGCTTAAAAGTTCCTTTCCTAATCAATGGGGATCACTCCTCTCAGATGGGCTGATAGAGCTCTGGACAGAGCTCTTCATGATTTGCTTTGCAATGGTAAATTAATTTTTCATAAGTGCTAAACTTGGTAAGTTGCTCCCGCTCTTCCAAAAAAGCTTTTTAAATGCTGTTCCAAAAGAAACTAATGTTCATCAATTCCATTTGGCAATCACAGAATTGTTTGGGTAGGAAGAAACCTTAAAGTTCATTTTTTTTCCAGCCCCTGCCATGGGCAGGGACACATTCCACTATCCCAGGTTGCTCCAAGCCCTGTCCAGCCTGGCCTTGGATACTTCCAGGGATGAGGCAGACACAGCTTCTCTGGACACCCTGTGCCCTGGCTTCCCCTCCCTCTCAGGGAAGAATTACTTCCCAATATCCCAATATCCAATATCCCATATGCCTTCAGGCAGTATGAAGCCATTCCACTTCTCCTGTCACTACAGTTCCTGAAGCTGATAATTCCATTTACAAGACTTGAATGATTATTTTATATTTAAGGTGAGTTTAAAATGTTTTCAATAAATTTCCCCTTCCTTCTCTGGTGGAAGACAGGTGTGTTTTCTACATGCTTAAATGCTGCAGGAGTGAATATTCACCTTGTAAATTAACAGGCTCTTCATCAGTGCTCCCCATTCTAGCCATGCATATAAAAAGCTGATCTGCCAGGTAGATCTGCATTTATTAGCATGTTAACGAGGTGTCCAGTTTTGCAAAACCCAGCTGCAAGCAGAGCTTCTGTCTTCAGTTTAACAGTTCACTTCTTCAGTAATTGTCTCTAAAAGTGTGCTGTTTACTTAGAAATTATTGTAATAAAGCCTGCAGATACACATAACCCGCATTTCAATTCACAAAGGTCTTTTGAAGGTGTATTGGGGTTTTGGTGGATAAAACTGGGCTGGAACATTTTATCCTTTATTTTTACCATGACTTGCCTGTGATTTGCATATATAAAGAGCCCTCCAGAGACAAATGGAGTCTTAGCACAGATTTTAGAAGATTTTGAGGTACAAAGCAAGAGCAGAAAAATGTCCACATTAATGTTGTAGTATCCATCTTCCATCTGAGTGATCACAATTAAAGGATTAAATGTGAGGGAATAGTAACACTCATGACAAGTGTCTTAATTCAAACATGCCTAACTTAAAATTTTGTCCTTCTGCTTATGTTCACAACTGTTTGGTCGAGTTCTGGCCAGTTTTAATACACACTAATGCACATTTGGCCAAGTAGAGTGTCTGGTAGGAAAGATCCTTTATCTTCTCTTTCTGTCCTCTTTTATTTCTCTGCTTCTTTGAGACCACACTGGGCTTTCCAGAGCTAATCTCATCATTCTTCCCCACAAAGCACAAGTATCACGTTTTCCTGTCAAGTGATCAGGACAAGCTAGCAAAAACAGGACAGCTTTGCCAGTTCTTTCCTCTTGCCCGTGTATCTGCCTATCTCTCCTCGGTCTTTTCAAGTCAGAAGCTAATTCTGAAAGTAGGCATGTGTTGGAGAAGGTACTTACAAATGAAAAATCCTGTGCTTTTTCAGCTCTCTTTGCCAGGGCTCAGGCACTGCAAAAGGGATGCTAACAGCGTGCTATTAGGCAGAAAATTATTTTCCTATAATTAGAAGTAGCATCCTTGGGCCCCAGGTTCTTGCAATGTCCATCTTGTTAGATGAAGATTATCCAGAATATGCTTATCTGTGGAAGATCTTCTTACTTTCATAGCAGATAATGACAGCATAAAAGCATTATTGTACTTAGAATAACTACTGTGTGTACAAACCCTTCACTTTTATCTACAGTTGTTATGCCCTCTCCTTTTCTATGGGCAAAGGTACTTGTGTATGTCTATAGGGACCCAAAGATACACTCTTAACTAGACAGCAGTGAGCAAAATTTGTGTTTGCTTGTTCTACAAGCAGCTTGGGGAGTAGGCACTCTTAATTTAAATTCTTTTATGCACATAATAATGGCAGGAGCTGTGATACTCATGTAAGTAGGAAAGGGTGAATTTCTGCTCTTGGAGAAGAAAAGATCAACTTTGTGAAGGCAGAATGATGCCATCAAAGTACCAGGACAGGCCTGGAGCTAATATACTTAGCTAATGATTTACAGCTGTCTGTTCCACATTGGGGGTGTAGTTTTATGGCCATAGTAAAGTTAACAGATGAGAGAAAGTGAAATATTTTGTGATGCTCTGTTGGGTAGAATTTGTCTTTATTGGGATAGAGCTTTTTGGGGAGTGATCAAATGTTTCTCTGCTCTGGCTTTGTTTTGAAGCTCTCTGAAACTCAAGAAGATAGAAGGACCACTGATAAATTCTACTGAAGGAAGACTTCTGGTTTTACATCTGTAGTTCCCTCATTATTCCTGGCTCAAAATTGAGAGGTAGGATAGAACAGGAGCACCTGAGAGCTCTGAGTTTGTAGCAATAGTTACTTTTTATTATCTCATGGCAAGGAGGAGTGCAGGCATCTGTCTCATTACATCTAAGGAAAGTAATTTCCATGTTGCACTGGTAAATGAGACCCTGGTACTAGTCCTGCAGATATGGTTTTTTTTTTATAGTGCCCCTTAATTCAGCAAGGCAACACAGATACACAGAGTAAAAAAAAAAAAAAAAAGAAAAGTCTTCTACAGAGGAGAAATGGCCTGAGAACTGCAGCTCTGAGTCTGCTCCTCCAACTTCCTCAGAATTGTTTGTGACTTCATTTTCATTGATATTTCATTCCTTCAGCTTCTGTTGACTTGAGGTGCAAGTATTTATTGTTCTCAGAATATCAAGTTGAGCCTTCAGTTTGGTAATTTTTCTGGCTAAAATGTTCAGTAATTTTCTGGAGATTTGTGGGGATGTTAGATTCATTTGGTGGGAGTGCCTTGGAAAGCTCAAGGTGATGCTGATAGTTACTGACAATAAAATCTGGGTCTTATGCAAGTACCCTGCAGTCACTGCCTACTGACAGTCATCATTGCCACCACCTTCCTGACCCCTGCACAAGGCAGTGGATCCAAAATTCTGCCTAGCAGGACAATTCAGCAGCTTTCTCCTTTCTTAAGGATTCTGCTAATCTCTGCAAATGAATTTTCTGGTAGCAAGATCCTATTCCTGGCTTAGAGCTTTTCCAGAGTAGCAGCAGGCTCTTTGTCACATGAGCAGATAAGAATTCACAAGTGACGGGCTGGATGAAACATCCTCACTCTGTGTACCAGCAGTGAACATCAACACCTTCAGCTATTGTAGTACAGGCTTCTGCCTCTTTTAGTCAGTGTTTAAACACAGAACTGATGCATGGAAAATTAATTTATAAACTTATAAACAGCATTTGTTGTAAAGCTCCAACTAAAAAACATCTTGGAAAGATCTAAACATTTTAAACTGAAAAAACTGTTCTGGAGGCATCTTTTTAGTACTTTGGTTAGGGGTAGGTTTTTGGCCACGTAAAGATGTCTATCAGCAGCTGCAGAATGAGAGGAAATATGCTTTGAGAACATGTGTTTCAGAAATAGTCAATCTCAGATGGTTGCTTGTCTCATCAACACAATTCTAGATGTTACCAAGACATCTGTGTTGTATAATTACTGCCTCGACCTCAGCAAAACCGATGAAAGCTACAGCAAATAAACTCTACCCTTATGAATTATGCTTTATTAACCTGTCAGTTCTTTTTAAAAAATAATGGGCAGTTCTAGGTAAAACTTGACATGTTTCATTATGTGTTGTTATATGTTCCATCTATCCTTTTTATGGTACTGACTAAGATATAATTGGAGCCCGACATATCTCACAGCAGTTAGATCACAGAAATTGCAGGCTCTAATCTGCACCTGTCAGTTGTAGCGAGTATTATGATGACTTTGAGCACATGGGTTGTCTCTTCACCAGATTAAATAGCTCAGCTTATGACCTACAAGCTTGAATGAAAAAAGGAGCCAAGCTGAAACAGAGCCCTCAATTAGCTTTTGCTACAAAGCTGGGACCAGATGGCCATTTGTTTGCTTGGGGGGTGTCAAGGAGAGACTTGGCTGCTTTGTATGCAGGTTTAAATAACTGGGTGGAAAGCTTAAAAAAAAGCCTGTATTCTTTTAATACTAGATTTCAGCAGAGTATTGCTCTGAACTTGACATCATGTATCCACCCCACACTCCTCAAGTTGGTATTGTCTGCTGACACTGTCCTCTCATGAAGATGTTTTATTTGTTTCTTATTTCATCCATGAACTTGATGGCCTTTGCTGCCACAAGAACTTAGACTACTCATCTCCTGGTGTTTGTTCATTTAAGCAAAATGTAAATATTTTCTTGTTTTGAAGAATTCCTCCCTGGTCCTGTTCCACTCTGCCCCCAAGTCAAGAACATGTTGGAGAAACTTTGTCATCCAGTCTTGCCTGGGAGAAGAGAGCTTCTTAAGCCATGCTTGCAAAGCTTTTATTTCATTTTAAAATGTAGCCAGGTGTTTAGGGCGAATATTATAGTTCTGATCAATGAGAATGGATTTATTTCTGAAAACCAACCTCAGGCTGGGTGCTGTTTTCATTGAATTTTACATAATGCTTCTGGGAAAATAGATTATTCCACTGGGGTTTGTATTTCTGCTGGTGTCTGTGTGTGCTGCTTTCTGATGGTTCCAGGCAGCTGCCAGATATCCTCAGAGTGCTGTATTTACAATGATTCCTTGGTGTGCTCTGAGCAGTGCTGTTTCCTCCATCCTTGTACGGTCAGAAATAGCCCAATCTTGTTGCTTTCATTACTTGCCAAACTATTAAAAAGCACAGTAGAACCAACCTGCCTGTGTTCCTCCTTTCCCTTTGCCTTCTGAAACATGGATAATCCACATGGAAACCTTGCTTCTTCCTCAAAGTCCCTGGGAACAGCTGACCAGGAGGTGACACAGAGGACTCCTCAGAGGGTAGGGGACACACCATGAGACTGCTGATCTCTCATGTATTGATCACAGTGGGTTGCAAGTTTCCTGTTGTTTTGCCATTTTTGCTCACTTCACCTCCAAAGTAATCATTCAGTAAGGCTGGAGGACCTGTTGGCCACAGATCTGAACAAGCCTGGGCAGCTCAAGGGGAACTTTTGAGGGGATTAACCCTTCATGTAGCAGCTGCACGTTCAACATTGGTTCCAGCTTGCTCTGCTTCCAGCCTCAGATTGTTGTGATACTCAAGTACAGCTTGATCCACTCACCAAGAAAATAGGGAGGGGAGAATGTTTAAGTCTTTTCTGCCTTGTAGGCACCAATGGGGCTTGCTGCCAATCTGCTGCTTCTTCAGCTGGGCTAGAGGCAGTGTGTTGTTTAGCTTTTAATAATAAGATTAACTATGTGGGGACCACCTGGCACTCTTGATCTTAAGGTTAAATGGTGCTTGAACTGGCAGGTGGGGAAGGCTGTATTTTGAATAGTCCTGGTGTTTTTTGTTGGTCATTCTCTGAGGCACTGGAGTGCTTGGGGGAAGAGCTCCTTCTAGCACATGGTTTAATCAGTGTCATGTGGTACTCTCATAGAACAGTAAAGTTCTTGTACGAAGGGATTATTGCATCATAGGAAGCCTGCATACTGATTTCTCTCCTGTCTGTGCCAGTTTCTTAAGAATAAAACAAGTTGTTCTCCCTCACTGTGCATACAATTAGGTACATTTATTCTGTGCAAAGCAATTTTGCTGTGGAGCTCGGAGTTCTTGCATCCCAGCACAGCAAAAAGGAACAAAAAAGGATGTAAGCCTTCCTGTCCTTGGTTGTATGAATCTGCACTGCAGTAACCTTAAGCACTGAGATTATAGCACGTGGTTAGTCACCTGCTCTGATGGTCTCAGGTGTGGAAGATGGACACTTTTGGCATCTCCTGAGTGTACAGAGGTGAGCAGGATATTTACAATGTGGACTTGAGAATATTCTCCAACTTAGCAACCACCAGTGCAAACTGACCCTTTAGGCTCACTAACATCTTAGCAACTGAGGCTTTCCAGAATCTTATTCATGAAATTACTACATTTTAGGCCTTTCAGATGAAGTTTGTGTTTTTGTTGTTTTTTGTTTATTCATATCTCTTTCCCTTTCTCTAGTGAAACTGTGGTCTACCAACTTGGACAACTCAGTCGCAAGCATTGAGGCCAAGGCTAACGTGTGTTGTGTCAAATTCAGCCCATCTTCTAGGTATCACCTAGCTTTTGGCTGTGCAGGTAGGTAAAAGGGATTCTGGGGCAAAGGGATATTGTTTCTTCCTTCCTTTATTCCTTATCCCTCCCCCCCAAAGATGTGAGGTTGGCTGCTGTGCCCAAGACTGAAGTGTCTTTGGAGTTAAAATGTCTGAGTAAAACTTCTCAAGTGCCACAATGATGTGTCAATGTCATCCCCAGCCTGACTTTTTAATGTGGGTGCCTCTATCAGAGTTAAGGCAGGAAAAGAAGTTGCCCAGTGTTGCAGTAGCCAGAAATTAGCTGAGACATAGACTTCTTGTTTATCACAGCATAAAAAGGGTCCTCATTTTATTCCTCTCCACAATTCAAAATCTGACTCCAACTATTCACTGACTCTGGCTACAGCAAGCTCCCACTGTAGGTTTCCCTTGCTGCCTCTGACTGCAGGCTTTTACCTAGCTGGACTATGACTGCAGGTTCCAACAGTCAGCTGTCACTGCAGACCCAGACTGACCTCACAGCAGTGACTCTCTATCCCTGTTTGCCCAGTCCTTCTAGATCGTTCCTTCAGTATCCTCTTCCTCAGTATCCTTCCTCAAGATCCTCCCCTGACCAGCCAACCCACCCCTTCTACCACTCTTATCTTTATTGGATATATGCCTCATCAGGGGCGAGGCTGTTTTGGGTAATTAACGCATCTGTGACTGATTAGGGGTGGGGTCGCCTGTAATCCCTTCTCCTACAGCTCAGTGTTTATTTGGATCGCTAAGGCAACCAGGCAGAGCTTGCTGTGGGACTCTCAATGCGTTAACATGATGAGAGCTGCTCTTTCTGATTTATAATATTGTTCTATAAATACCACAAAGCCGTACTGGGAATTTTAACTGGTTTTACCTGAAGCGTGCTGTAAAGCTGTGGCTGTGAGTGCTCCCGTAGCTCCAGCTACAATCCCTGTGGGTGGGCTCGTGTTTTCCTAGGCTGGGCAAAGATGGCTGTTAACGTTTTTATTTTTTTGAAGTAGTCAGTGGGGAAGGCACGATGAGCTTTTTATTCACTTAGATTAAATGGTTCTTGGTGATAACACAAAGATCTGAGAGCAGAGCAGGTGTCTTTAGGGAGGAAGCTGTATTGTGCTGTGCATACAGTAACTAAAACTCAGAGGTGCCTATAAATGTTTAACTGACACTGCATTTTCTTTCTCCTTGGGGAGTTTTAATGCACTTGTAACTAGTTGTTCTGACAACATTTGTTCTCTCTGGACTCTAAGAGATAGGTTGATCATTCTTGCAACCACTGGTCTGCTGTTTCTTTCAGGTGTTCTCATTTCCAGATTGGTTCTACTTTGGTTGTAACTCTTAGGAGGCAAAAAATAAACTTGCATTTTGAATACAAAAATGGGTTCAAGCTGGAGTGTAAAATATTGACTTGCTTGACAGGTATCTCTCTGAAGTTTAGTGAATTACATGTAAAAATAGTTGAATGACAATACCTACTAGCAGCATTTGAATGAGTGGGACTATGTGGGAAAGGCTCTAGGGAAAGATGAGAGCGCTAGCTCCAAATGGATGAGCCACTGATTAAAATATACCTGTAAAAGCACCATGAAACAGAGTTCTTGATAAATAGATAACTGGGATTCCTTGCCACCTGAAAGACAGAGGAGGGATAATGCACAGATAAATCAAGGAAGGCTTTTGGAGATGGAGGGCATGTGGGGTAGGAGCAGGTGGGAGTGTCGCTATCTCCACACCCAAATCCAACAAATGGGGTTTGTCTTCAGCAAGTGCGTTGTGAAAGAAGCATTAGGAAGCCCTAGAAGTTTCATGGAGGTTTTAAAGGACTGCATGTGTGTTTCTATGATTTAGAGGATGCTGAGGAATAAAATGGTATTTGTACTGAAGGAAGTGTTTACATCTGCTTGATGTTTGGTAATTGAATCTCTAAATAAAAATTAAAATGGATATTTAATTGATACTATGATTGCTGAAACAATTACATGGGGTAATTGAACTGATGGAAATTATTTCCCACAACGGAATTTTAATTAATCTTTCAGTCATAAATACATGTGGGAAAAATGGCATATTAAAAGAAATACTGGAATCTTGAAAGACATTGTTTCTGATCTCCTGAAAATAATCAGAGGAAAGAAATGAGTGTCTACTTTCATACTCCATATAGTACAAGTCATGTTTAATGTGTTATGATGGACACAAAGGTTTTTCTTCTCTATCAGCTTCAGCTAGTCGTGCTTAATTTCATTTTGTGGAAAAAGGAACGTGACTTTAGAATAGCATGAGTTGTCTCATAGGCTATAAAATTAATAAAGGAAGAGTCAAAACTGACTTCTTGAGTACTACTTAAAAAAAAAGGAAAAGCAGGGAACTGGGCACACTGACTTGACCACTCTTGCTTGCCCCCAGTAGGAATAAAAATGAGCAGTCCACAGGGCTAAACACTAATTCAGTGACCAGTGTAGTGGGCAATTTTAGAAAGCTGTCTTAGCCCTGCCTTGGCTTGCTCACATGCTAAGAGGATTTTCAAATTTTGAAAACTGTTTCAATTACTTACTTAGTGATTTATTCAAGGATAGAAGAGCCAAGACTTCTGAGCATTTCATGCCCCATGCAGTCTTGTACTGTATTTGAACAGAAGTGCTGTTTCTATATATGCTCTCATTTTATCTGCTGATTTGATGGAGCTTGATGCTATATATGTGTCTATATTTTTGTGTTTATATATGTATATAGCTATAGTTTAAGACTTGATGAGGTATGCAATTCATAAAATGGTTAGGGAGGAAGTATTGGTACTTAATATTTGAGCTATAAAAGGCAGTAAAATATAAAAGATATAGAGGAATAAATATAAATAGATATAAAAGAAGTAAATTGATTTACTATACTATTCATTATATACACATTTCAGTTCCTTTCTCTGTATGCAGAATAGCTGAAAGCCAGCATAACTTGTTGAAGCAATGTAATTTTCACTGGAAGTCTATATTTTTTCAGGGTTAACATTTTTATTTTCTTTTAAGGTTCTCTCTTAACCATCCACAAAGCTAGAGCATCTTTTCATAAGGTCCTGTTCTTTCACACCTTGCTTAAGATAAGCTCTTCTCTGCCCTTGATAAATGCATTGTGTCCACTTGCATCCATCTGTTCAGAAATGCCCCCTTGAAGTGGATTTTTCTAATCAGGTGCTTCAGCTGGATCAGCATCTCTGTGCTGGTTCCTCCCTTGCCTTCACCACAGAAATAGGATGATCTTAAGGTCCTTTCCATCCTGTCCCCATCTTACATTTCTTTCCACTTGTTAGTAATATTTTGGTTGTTGGTACACTCAGCCCATGATGCGCAGGTGAAAGGTTGAGAGGTACCTTTCTGCCTTCTCCAGTTTCAAAACCGCCTTTTACAGAAAAGTTGTAAGGAAGATACCAAAGTCCCTTAGAGATCTACCAACACATGGCATGAATTGTGCCAGCTGAGGCAGCACAGGGTTCACAGCCTGACTTTGCTTCTCACCTGAAGCTTCAGGGCTCTGTAGGAATCTTGAACCAGAGATGAGGGTTTAATAAAAGCATTTCCACCTGCACCCAGTTTACATGCTGCATTGCCAAATAAAAGGAGGGAACTGAAGGACTGTAGGGATGGATTTTGAAGCAAAGTAAGGCTGTGAACCCTGTGGCACAGTGAGAGAAACGGGGGGATTCTGTCACAGGATTTGCTGTGATGCTTTGATTTAAATGTAACCACCTTTAAAAGTGTTCTTAGACTGTGTGTCTCCATGAGGAACACTTTTCTTTAGTGGAGAGCACTGAGGTGGCTTCAGGAAACCAAGCTTTAGGTGCCACTATAAAAGCAAATCCCACAATTAGCATCTAATATCGATGATGTATATATTTCTTATCTGGACTCTTCACTCTGAAGCTTTTACATGGCCAAAAAAAATTATCTTGGGTAGCTTAGAACAAATGAGCAATAAACTAGAAATAGAGCCTACAGAAGAGAGAAATAGATATTGGTTTGAAAAGTAATTCACTTAAAATCAGGGACTTCAGGTGAGAGGAAAGTTGGTATGTCTGGCTGTAGCCTGATAAAATCTGTTGGAGAGGGCACATAAAGAAGAAAAGACCCCTTTTGTCTGTTTCTTTAATAAAATACTCTATTTGCATGCTTACTGAGTTGAAACATTGTCCAGTATAAACTGTAATCACTGCCAAATACAAAAGCAGGTCATTCTGTGGTCTTTTCCTCTTTTTAAAAACAGATAGGGTTTTATTCTGAAATTAGCTATATAAATCATGGCTGAAGTTATTATTGTTCTGCCTCAGCAATAGCACTGATGTCCTTAACCCATATATTTTCTAGCAGTGCTGTTTCCCTGCTTTAAAAAGAAAACTAAAGGCTGAAAATGCATCATGCACTTTGCAGCTGGAATGTCCAAGTTGTGCAGTCTGGGTGAGATCAGACTGTCTGCTAACTCCTGTGAGCTCAGTGTAGCTATTGATAGTAGGAATGTTTTATTCCCAGCATGCTGTAATAGTGTCAGCAGCTACCACCTTTTTGTTTCCCATATATTATGCAGAGATTTTGTAAGAATTCAGACATCTGAAGTTTCTACGACATTAGATGCATCATCTCCTCAAATGCTGTATTTTTCCCCTGTAGGACCCACAAATCTAGCAGGTTGGATTGAGGGCTGAGAGAGGTTTTTCAGGGCTGCAGAGATGCAGGACAGAGACTGTCTCCTCTCCAGGAGCTTCACAAAATAAGTGCAACCAGCAGAGAAATACATATGGACGAAGGATAGCAACACAGCAGCTCCAGCATGGTCAGAACTTAAGGTTTTGCTGCATTAGTTTTAGCTTTGGTTGGTCTCTAAAACAGCTTTGCTATGTTGTCACAAACTCTTGGCAATGTGGGTTCAGATGAAGTGGCCACAGCAGGTAAAAAGTGGGGTGATGCTGATTTACTGCTTACAGCAACAGAGTTTGAGACTACCTGCATTGGAGATGCCATACTCCCTCCTAAACATCCC